TTTTTTTTTTTTCACTAAAGTTTGGGATTTTAAATTTTAACGACCTTAATTAAAAGCAAAATGGGTTGTCTCTAGACCTTGACCTTGTGACATGAAAGAGTCTAATAAAGTCCAGATAGCAGCTAAGAATGTTGCATATTTTTCCATTAAACTAATACTAATTTTCACTTGACTAGTTAGTTGGTTAATGGTTTTCCTCGAAACATGCTTGTGTTGCTTATTTTATTTATGTTTTGGCTTTCTGCAACTGTTCCTTCCCCTTAATGATGGCACAACCCCATAATGTTGTGCTCAGCACATTGCAACCTTCAATCAATTAATGACACTCTAGTTTTATAATCTATTTTTTTTGCTTTTTAAAGAAAAAAAAAAAGAATTGCAGAGAAATAATATGAATTTTGGAATTAGTTAAAATTATTGGAGACAGGTGCAGATAATTTGATTAATCATTATAGGCATAATACCAAAAGATAAAGTAGGGTTAAGAGTGGGTGGACCTCATTCCATGAGAGCTGGCCGCCCAAAGTTTGGTCGTTCTCACATCAATTTCGTCTAATCCACGCATTAACGTGTGAAATCTCAACGTAAAGATATATCCTTTTCCCTTTAATTTTCTTTTTCCTTCCTTCGTCCTCTTCATCAAAGGCAACAAAACGTCAACACACTGACTTTTCTCTCAATCATGTATCTGTCACTCTTCGTTCAAGTCCTGAAATTCTTTGCCCACGTAGGAAACGATAAAGATACACTACTGAACTCCTGACAACGAAATTACTCCCATCCCACGAATAATTATTGAAAAATAAATAAATCTAAGGATAAGGTTTCAATTTATGTTAAATCTAATTTTTTAACTCATGAAGTTTATCATTCTACTTTTTCAATTTAATTAAGATTTGATAAAATAAAATTAATTGTAAGAAATTATTTTGTTGGAAAATAAAAGAATATTTTTACAAAATATATTCTTAATTTCAACTAAATTATAAAATTACGTTTAACCATTGAATAAAAGATGTGTTTTCGTAATTATATAAAATTTTTTTAACATAATACTTGAAAAAGTTCTTGAATTATTTAAGAAGGTTTAAATAAGTTTTTATTCTTCTATCATCTTTGATCAAGTTTTTATACTTTTATTTTAGATCAAATAAACTCTTATAACTAATAATTGATTAATTGTCATTATTTAAAATATCACTTATCATTTTATTTACACGTGGTGTTAATATAAATAGTAAAAAATATCACAATGATTATGTCATCATACCATATCAATATGTCACATCATTATCTATTATAACATATTAAACTACCACGTTAACACCACGTACATGACATATAATAAATGATATTTTCATTAATAATAATTAATCAACTAGTAATCACAAGAGCTTATTTAACTTAAATTAAAAATATAAGAAATTATTTGAACAAAAAAAATAATGAAAATTTATTTAAATTTTCCTTGATAATTTTTTTTTAAAAAAAAAATCAATATTATACCAAAATTTTTGTATGAAATATTCAGTATTCTACATGAAAAATTTTGGGGATATTGTTGTATCTTTGAAGCATATTAAACCTTAAAAGAAAGTGATGTACAGAGTCTCAAAACCATCTTGATTTCATAATTTTCTTATTTCATTCTCTAAATAATTTTCTAACACAGCAACTCTAATGAGTCAATTGTTGTAAATTATGCGATAATATTTGCATTAACTAAGATATTTTAATTGTTAAACCTTATTGGCTACATTGCTTTTAGAAGAATGTTTAGGGGAATCGCTTTTATAAAAGAAAATTCCAATGCCATGTCTTTGCTGGTGAGCACTATAGCCTTGGATTCAAGCATAGAAGAGATACAAGACGAATTACGTATGAGAATAGCGCCACACTGGTCTTTTTCTCATTTCCCACTTTTAAGCTCATTTGCCATTTGCCATTTGCCAGTTAAAAAGGAGCCCATTAAGCTGATTATGGACCACACTTACATCTTCAATTACCTTTGTACCTTTGCCTTTGCTTTAGATATATACAAGTTGCATGGGTTTTGTTTCGGGGAGGCTGGTGCCAAGTCACAGACCACATGTGACAATTGAAATATACAAGACCCACAAAATCTCCCAACACCTCAATCATTAACAATTCCTCTTTATCCATGAACTAGTCTCACATTCTTCTCCCCTTTTACCTCCACCAAAAATATTATAATTAATAAAATTATCTACTTAAACCCTATGAAAGAATTTCAAGTCATCTTCACAGTGTATTGTATTGTATCAAATAATGATGTTGCCTTCAAAGTTATTCAATTACATCTGAGCGTTTTGTTCTATAAATGGTAAATTTGTTTACAACATTTTCAAAAAGTTAGTTCGAATGTAATTCAGATATAATCTAACAGTAATTATTATTTTTTCTTAAAAAGGAAAAAGGTACAAGATTTAAATGTTGCCTCGTATATGGACTTGTTCATTGTGTTAAAAATAAAATAAAACTAATGGAGTTCATGAAATTGATTACTACACTTTGACTCGGAAAATTGAGTACAAGGGAAAATGTGGGGAATGGCTCAATTGAGATTGGACCATTGGAATAAACTTCGATTGGTTGCTGGAAAGGCCAAAGGACTGCTATGGGCCAGAACTAGGCCCAAGTTTGTCTGAAAATTTATAAAAGATAAACAACAAAGGACACACAGCTTCCGGCCCATTTTAGCTGATCCATCAGTCAAATTAAAATTCCTATATACTATTTTCTTGAAGCCTCATTTGCTCCCACACTCAAAATGTTTTAATGAACATTTTAATTAGTTAATATTTTAAATGATATATTAACCCAAAGTTGTACTTGTTTTGCACTCAAATATTTCGTTTAGTAGTTGATATATACATATCTTCTGTTTAAAGAGTACCTTTGAATGTCTCTTCTGCTGAATAAATAATTGCATTTGTTTTATTTGCTATAAATACTAAAAATAAATATATAATTGTGTATATGCAATTTAGTTAATAATAAAACTAAAACATGTTTAGTAGTTAACTTTTAAAGTTTATTCATTAATGTAAATTAATTCATAAAAAAAACTTTTTTTAGTGAATTTGACTTAAAAGTCAACTAAATAATTATACCCAAAATGTAATTAGATTAACATTTCAATGACTGTAGCAAGTAGCCAAAGGAGATGGTCTATAGTTGAAGAAAGTGGGATCCCAGAGGGTAGACATAGACTCAGCTCAGATGGGCTTACCTGCTATCTCTGATATCTGTATTGTTGCATGCAACCCACTCAAAGAATGCAGCGGCAGTTATCTGAACAAGAAACTGGAAAGGAAGTGTCAACTATTGACCAGCTCATCCCTGTCCTACCCCAATAATGAATTTGTATTAGGCTTAGGCTGTAGCCAAACATTTGCTGGACCTAACTACAACATATACAGTGGGCTTAACTAGAACAGTTTCATAGAAACATATCTCAGTGTGTGTATCCCTTTTTCTTCTTCCATTGTTGAAAATACATCGCATGACATTCAAAATTATATGACATACATAGCAACTAATGACAAGCTCAAAAGAGATGCACATAGACTCTCTCTGTACATAGATGGGGCCTCTATTGCAATATAAATAAATCAGTGATGGGGCAAGGATTCCATTGCAAACACTGTATATGCAAGAGCCTTGCCCTAGTATTGCGGTTAATAATTACTATAAAATTTCAAAGACAAACCTACAATCTTGTGTAACAAGCCGCATAAGCTGCATTTCTACGTCACGATTTGATCTATGACTTGCTTCATCATATCATTTCACCTACGAGCTTTGATTATCCAAGGCGCTTGCCCATGACCTTAAGCTAGTTCTTGAAACAGCTCAGCTTCCAATCCAGTTAAGCTGAAAATCTAATAAACAAGAACGATCAAACAATTGATTTGGTGAATCAAACACTTGCAGGAAGATGATAATGGTGAATTTCACACGTCAGGCATCGGAAGTAACTCAAAAGAACTTTGTCTCATGGTCAGGATCTGATGGAAACTAACAGTAGCTGAACTACTTTAACAGTGATTTAATGCACAATCAATATCTCGCCCAAGCACACCCCTTTTTATCTTTCTTTATGGCTTCCTTAACTCATCACTCTCCACATATTAAATAAGCTAAAAAATCCAGCAAAACCAAATAACTGATGGGAAACACTACTGCGTGATTAATTATCTAACATTGTACTTTTAGAGTAAACTATAAGCATTTTAGGAATATAAACTCAATTTTCCAAACTAAGCTGCAGCATTAATGACACTAATCACATTTAGTTAGTTTAATCTTTAATGTATTGTATATATTTAAATTTTCTATTCAGTGTGTGTTCTTCTGTAAGAGAACTGATTACCAAGGATAAAGTATGATATATATATATATATATATAGAGAGAGAGAGAGAGAGAGAGATAATTGTATGTGAAGGTTCCACAAAGTTTGTAGACGAAGCAGTGCACAGCACAGAAAAAAAACAAACCCAACATTGGAGTAAAACCTTAACATGTTTAGGGCTTGAGATTCTGGGGTGTGGTCTAACATGTATTATCTGGGGCTTCGGGTTCTTTGGGTTGGGTTTCACGCTTTCAATATTTTGTGCTCTTATACCTTTGTAAATTTTCTATGGTCCTAGTTGGTTTTCTTATTTTGTAGATGTAAGCCAGTTTGCAAGACGACATTAATTTCTATCTCCTATAGGTACATCAAATCTAAAGTGTCTAAATAAAGTAAAGTGATATTGGCATTATTTATTAACAGTAACAAGGCAACCTTTATTTTCAAAAAAAAAAAAAAAACAACGTAAACTTTATGGTGATCAACAAGATATTGGAAATAGTATGTAAACTAAAATGTTGTTAAAACTATGGAAAGTATTTTTTTTTTCCATTAACATGTAGGCTTAAAGAATTCATTTTCATCAAAAAAGAAAGCAAATAAAGAGCAGCACCTGTTGCCACTTCAATAAAACCGGCTCAAGTATGCAAAGCATTCTGGACAGTCATGAACTATAGCAAATTTATAGAGCAAATGTTGACCTGACTAGAGAATTATAATTATAATATAAAAAAGTACAAACAATTTACAGTAAACTTCCATTACCTGCTGCTAAGGTTCATTGGTGCTGTACAAGGAACTGATGAAGTCCCATCTGGACCACTAGCATTGCCAACCTGGACCCTCTCAGCATTTTGAATGGTATTCTTTGATATTCTATTTGAGTAAAACCCTGAATTCTCTCTTATGTCACTGCAAGCATCTGCCAATGGGTTCATAACAAATCCACCCCTACTATGACGCAGATACCTTTGGCTGACTTCGGGCTTATATGATTCAGCACAAGAATCTTTATCAGGTGTGTTATGTACTGCATTTAGGGAAAGCACGCGCCCAGAAGAAGATAACCTTGGAGTAGAAAACCGCCCTTCTGTCTTCCTCCAGAACTTGGGACTCAAAAATTCTGCACCAGGCAGTTTGCAACATGTGTTATCTGTAGAATCCATGTTTGGAATCCTTCCACTTGAAACAGCCAAATCATAAGATATTTCATCCAGAGCCATCTCCAGGCCATTTACACGTGTCTCTAGAGAATTAATCCCATTTTGGGAGCTCCCAATGAATTTCTAGAATCAAACAAACATTATAATTATGTCAGTACTTAAAATTAAAATGATTTAACATTAATAGAGTCTGATACAAGGCTGATTCTAATTAAGTGTAAACAACACAGTATGGAAAAAAGAAAAGCAAAGCTACCAACAAATACATGCAAGGCATATTACATAACAAAGCATGTAAATTATCAGAAAGTGGAGAGGGGGGAATGTAGCTGGTTCAAAAGGAAGTAGAGTATAGACAAGGTGTTTACTAAATTAAACTTAACTTGGTCTTCAGAACCCAATTATTCTCCCAAAACACACACACACACATTAATTCTTGAGAAAGACTCTAAAATGTAGATCCTAAAATATCCTCCATGAATGGCTGAAGAACTCAGAGTAAGCACATGCAAGCTTCAAAGAATTTCAGAAATACTAGGCATTCTCACAGATATAATAAGCCAAGGATTTTACCAAGAAAACCAAAGTCAAACAGAGTTGACCATTAACCTACAGATGACAATAATAGGGAATCAAAAAAAGCATTACCTGGTTGGTGCAAAACTTAAAAAATCTAAGTAAAGGAAGAGAAAGAGGATATTAAGCTTCAGTAAACTACCTGGAGGAGGTTTAATAGATTGGATTGCTGGTCCTCAATCTGAGCAAGTTGTTCATGGATCAAAGACAGATTCTCAATGTCTCTAGGGTTCTCATCAACTTCGACGGCTGCATTGTCGTCGTCAACATCTAAGTTCTCCTCATCATGAAATGGAACCACCCGAGACCCAGATCTCAAACCTCCAAATTTCTGCACTTTTTCATCTCGGACCTTACCAAAGAGTACACGTTTTGTTTCCAGCCTAGAATTTATGCTGTCCCCATTTTCTCTTGATCTCGAGACTCCAAGGTCACTATCTTCAATATTATCATCACAAGAGGCCTTTGCAAACAGAGACTTTGGCTCAACAATTTCAATCTTCCAATCAGAGGGTTTCGTGCGGTCCAGCCTACTAAAAATCGATGTGTTCCTATTCCTATTATTACTCTTCAGGGGCGTCTCTTTCTTGGCAGTGGGCACAGGCGAAGCATCAGATGGAGGGGACCTGCTCACAGGGACTGCTTTCTTTGATTGGGGAGTCCTTAATCCAGCATCGTTGGCACTTTTAGTAACTGAAGGGAAGCATCCAATGCTACCATTATCTGTTTCCACCAGTAAGCACACAAGCATAAATCATTAAAAGCAGTGGTTACCAAGCATAAATGTTCACAGCAGCACCATAATAGCAATACTCAAATTTTCAAAATTTTATTGCACCAAAAAGAAGTTTTCAAAAATTTGAACTGTAATTTGCAAACAACTTCAGAACTAACATTGAACAAGTATCATTTTTTTTTCTTATTAAAAACAAAATAGCACTATCAAATTTTCTAGCTTTGGACAAGATTACTTTCCAAATATCATCAGATAATAAAAGTTTAAACAAAATAAATCTTTATTATACCTATTGAAGATGACTCAGACTGAGAAGAAGCTGAGGCCTCCTCACAAACTCCAGGAACTTCCTTCCATAAATCCAAACTACGATTCATAGTTTCTCGGACAATCTTTACCTGTAACAACAAAATTTATAAAAATCATAAGCGTTTTCCTTTTCCTATTTCCCTCATCGGGAAAAAAAACCTTAAAAAAAAACAATTAACCAGTAAAGATACACATGACCGCACCTTATCAAACCTCTTATTTCCAAGAGCGGTCACACACACCGCTTTATACTCCGTTGCCAGCTCTTTCTCAGCCACTGCCACTTTCCCTAACGCCTCCGCCGCAGCCTTTCTCGTTGCCCAATCTTTGCTACTCAAAGACTCCACCGCGCAGGGCACTAACCAACCCAAAACTCCTTGACTTCCGGCACCACCAACACTAGCGACGCTTCCGATGACTCCAAACACGGCCGCTTTCGCCTTGAAACTTTCGTTCCTTACTAACTTCCCAAGCTTCGGCAACACTTTCCTAAGCTGCTCTGTCTCGGGATCCGGCGCCGACTCGATCGCCGCCGCCAAACACATCGCTGCTCCAATCTGCGAGTTCACGTCTTGTTCCACCACGAGCATTTCGATTAAAGGCTTCCACAAAACCGAGAAAGGAGGTCTCGTGATGTGAGACGACATTGCGATGGTTGCCTCGACACAGGCGGATCGGACGGCGGAGTCGGGGTCACGGAGGCGGCGGGCAACCGTGGAAACCATCTTAGAAAGGTGAGGAGACAGAGCGTTGCCGTGAGAATGAGACAACAAAGCCAAAAGGCTTACGCATTGTCTCCGAACAGGAGACTTGGACGAAGAGTCGGTGTTGTGGAGGCAGTTAAGGAACGGAGAAATGGAGTCGAGGGTAAGGTTTCGAGCGATAGACTCGAGCTCGGCCGAAGCGAGGGCGAGAGTGTCGCGGTCGGAGAGCTTGTTTAGGCAAGTAATAACGCGTTGTTTGAGATTCTGCGGTTGCTGTTGCGCTTGAGGACTCGGCGGTGATCGGTTCATGAAAGGCATTGTCGGTTTCTATCGATAAGTTAAGATTTTGATGTTGTATTTGGATGAATTTGTGAGGGATTGAGGGAAAGAGATTTGGCGCTGAAATTTGGTGGTTTTAGGAAATGGCGGCAGGGGATGGGTGTCAGCTATAGTAATGAGAGCTTGCAGCGCCCTTTTAAATGTTGAGAGGGAAGTCAGAGAGACAGAGACACAGAGACAGAGAGCGAGGCAACAAGAGCCACCCTTCTCGACCATTATATAAATTTGTATTATTAATTTGTAATTACTTGTACTATTATTATTTATTTTAATTAATCACAACAAATCATAAAACTTACAGTAAAACATAAGCTATAAGGGATTAGATTATTTTCATGTAATTTGTGAATAATAGAAAATGATTTATTGGAACAAATCAACAGTAAATGGATCCTAAATTTGAAGCCAAAAGATTACATGCAAGTCAAGTAGAGACTAAAGACTAAAGAGTAGTTCGGAATTTTTTAAAAAAAATTTTTATAAACTTTTTATAAATATATAAATAATAAAAATATTAATTAAACGAAACCTAAAACAAATTCACTTATTTTATTATTATTGGTCTTTGTACCAGATCTCATTTTATCTCACTTTTTTTTTATTTCAAGTCAATAAATATAATCAAAATTTATTATAATATTCAACAGATTTTCTTTCTTGATTTTTTTTTGGTGAAATATATGTTGAATATGTTGATTGCATGAATTTTTAATTTCAATTGTAAAAGGATCAAGTACTACAAATATTAGTGATATTATTATGAAGAAACGATAAGCATATATATATAAGTATTATTGTAAATTAAAAGACATCTTATTTCATCACTTATCATTGAAGACATCTTCCTTGGTCCTTGAAAGAAGCCAGCTACCTCATTGTATTGACTTGAATAATTCTTCACCGCAGTTGGCATTAATTCTGTGCAAAGAAATTAAGCTGCTTCCAAATTACAACAGTATACTTTATCTTGTAAAATATAATCTATATATTTATGTAGAGTATATCATTTGATTTAGTTGATGAATTAATAGAGAACTTAGAAGCCACATGGGAATGAATAAGGAGCTTGTTTAGAGGACACATGAGCGAAGTTGGGTGAGCTGGTAAAGGGAATATCCCAACTGTAACTATTTTGACTCATTCCCCATTTCTTAACACTTTATTATCTGATTAAGTTCATCATTCAAAGAATTAATCATATAAACAAAATCTTAATTTATGTAATCCGAATTAAAATTCTATGGGAAGAAGCAAATGCAGCACATGAACAGCCACGTGGATCTAGGGAGGTGCTTTCCTGCTTGACCTATGGGAGCATCTCCTAATTGTTTCATGTGTTCATGGGATAAGATGTGGATGTCCTGTATGGGTAAAAAATTTGAAAAAGAAAAAGCAAGAGATTGTCAGTTCTCGGTTATTATAAGGGGCAAGTAAATCTAGGAGGGAGAGCTGCGGGTGCAATGCACAGCATGTGAGGGAGATAGGGAAGAGTGGAGACAACAAATGTTGAAAGTGTTCTTTGAACAGTCCATCACGTGACTCTGAGGATGGGGTTATTCAGTGAACTAAATCTATACTTTCTGGCTCATAGCCACGCTACTTGTGTCTCTATGCCCTGCCTAATGCAATAAAAACTTGGATTACACCCTGGTTGGAACAACGTTGGATCCACATTCCTTTCCTCTTTTAGATTTTGTGACAAATGTTGTTGGTATAAAAACTTGGGTTACACCCTAGTTGCAACAACGTTGGATCCACATTCCCTTCCTCTTTTAGATTTTGAGCTAGTCTAGCAGTTATTTTTTTATAAAAAAATTAAATAAAATACTTTCATTTTTTATTTTTTAATTATAATTTTATGTAAATTTATTAATTTTTAAAATAAATAATTCATCTCAAGTAAATGAACGATGTTAATAAATTAATGTAAAATATTAAAATTATCTCTTTTTTTCTTTCTACCTCTTCTTTACTATTTTTTTTAGGCCAACCAGCCGCCCTCGCGACCGTCCACCCTGCACCCCCCACCCCCCACCGCTGTGCTCCCTAAAGTAGTCGGAGTGCGGATCTTGCGCCCCCCCAAATCTATGCTCCCTTGGAGAGCATCGAGGGTGGGGGGGCACGTCTCCCCTGGGGAGCGCGAGATCAGTGCTCCCTTAAGGAGTGCAGCGGAGGGAGGCGGGAGATCCAACCACAGTCGGATTTGACACTCTCTGATTGGAGCTAGATTTGACGCCTGGGCTAAGGAAGAGGCAGGGGATAGGTTTTGTTTTGAATAAAAAAATTAAACATAAAAAATAATAATTTATATATTATAATAATTTTTAAAATAAATAAAAAATTAAATTTTCTTTCTAATATTAATATATCATTAAATTAATAAAAATATTAATAATAAATTAACAGTTAAATTTATATACTTAATGAAAAATATTTTTTAAGATGACTTACATATTTTAACAATAAATATATTCACGTAAAATTATGATTAAAAATGAAATGAGGGAGGGTATTTTATGTAAAAATTTTAACAAGTTTTGAGATCATTCATTAGTGACCGTGAAACTCATAGAAGAAAGCAAATGAGGAAAAAACACCATCCAAAACACCCGAACACCATCCTGTAATCTCCCTACTTGTTTCTCAAAAGTTAAAAATGGTGAAAAAATGTGATGCATGTGATGAGGATCATGATTCAATCCGGGTAGGCGTCCACCAATTTTGGGGTTTGAACAAGGTAAAGGGACCCACTAATTTTTGGAGTATGGTCAAAGCCCTATCCATCTACCTAGCGATCTACTGCTTAGCCAGCCGTGGCACACGATTGAGGGCTCAACGACACCTTTGGCTAGCCAAAGAGAGCAGAGCAGAAGTGAAAAGAAAAAGGCGAGTTGGTTTAAAAAAAGAATTGAGGGATGCCCCCCGTGAATTAAGTGCAATTGCAATAATGGTGATATTTAAGCATGGAGAAGAGGGGTGACCAAAGATGGCAAAACTGGAGATGGTTATAATGGCTTTTCCCCTAATTTGAAGGGGAAAACGGAAGATGGTGACACAAAATAAGTTAGATCCATGTGACCCTGTTTGATTTCATCATAAAACAGTTTGTCAGTTTTTGGCCCTGTGCTGTTGTTATCAGCATTTGCTATTTTGTCCTTCCATCCCCCCCAGACCATCGATATGGATGGATCCAACCTATTCGCAATTTCTTTCTAGGTTTTCCAGATTTTTTTTTGCCAAAAAGGAATTCATACAGCTTCTTTTTTTTTTTTGTGTGTTATAATTAGTTATGCTAATAATGTTAACCTAATTGTAGTAATTGTATAGACTACAGATTAAATTAATATAATTTTATTAAAATTTCGATACTAATAGATTAATGTGATTAAACGTTGTGATTTATGAATATATATATATATATATAATTGAAAGTATGAATTACTGAATATCCTGTATACTGTAAGTCTGCAACCCACCTCCTTTTTCTTTGTTTTTATTTCGGAAGCAAAACTTGGCGTAGCCCTGGAATCCCTAATTGTTTCAACTTTTGCATGGAATAATAAATGTTGTACACCACGCAAAAAGAAAGGAAAAGCAAAGAAGAAAACTTGTGAGTTAACTTTTAGGGAGTGACTCGATTGTGGCATTCCCTTACAACACATAATAATTATTTAACTTTTAAGTTTGTCGATAAAATGAAGAACCACTGTTGAATTCACCATGTATAACTAAGCTTAAAAAGTGGCCTTAGTAGAAAGATCATAATAATGCTTTCCACTATTAACTACTTACTGTATGCAGTCATGAGATCAATCACACCGTAAGAATAGTGGTGCAATTAGGTTTGGGAAATGGAAATATACCAAGATTCTTCAGTTCCTAACTAACAAAATGCCGTGTCCACCAACTTTTAACTTTGGAAAAAATTTGATCAGAAGGATTGATCGTCCATCAGAAAGAGCAAAAGATGCACGTTTTAGAATGTGGACAGAGAGAAAGAACTGTTGTGGTGTCATCCCAAGAAAGATTTTGATGCCTCATTTCTTTGAAGTTGATCAGTAGATGTTACTTGATGTGATTTAATTCCCATCAAAAGATAACAATATTTATGGCCAAGGAGAGAAGAGGGAATTTGGCTTATTTTTTAACATAAAGAAAAAGTTAATTTTGTTTACAAAAGAGATGAATTTGGAGTGAGTGTGACAGTGACCACAACCAAATTATGAGAAGTTTGAGCACATAGAGTGAAGGACAAAAAGGAGGGGAAAAGAAGGCAATGCAATTTTGCCTATGCAGCCAGTTTATGCTGTTGATTTAAGTGAACTTGTTGGATCTCGTAGTCTCTAGTTTGTGCCAGTAGCAAATTTCTGCAAAATTAAAATAGTTTAATTGAGTCTGCCAGTGAGATCGGGGAAAAGATTATACAGAATCTTTCTGACAATTAATATACCCTTTTTATTGGCAGGAAAACATTTAATATTGGTATTAACATACTTCTCAAAATTGGAAAACAATTTTGTCAGTGATTTGACAAACAAGGTAAAAAGTTCAACAACTGCGGCTTTGCAAATTTTGAGGAAATTTCTAAGATCAGGAAAATGCCATTAAATAACCAAAGAGATATTATCTTATTTCTGGTAAGGCAGCTATGGCGTTCAATAGTATTAATTGCCCCGTGTCTGTACACGTCATCACCATCCTGGTAAGGTTTGTAAATTGCAGCCCCTCCCCTTCACCTCGATTGAAACTTGACAGCTTTATTTCAGTCTTTCTTATCAAAAGCAGAAGGCTAGAAGAGTGAAAAGATCTCAAAATCCGCCCCTTAGCTTAGATGATGTCCAGAAGACCCATCTCCTCTCTACAGTTCTCTGCTGTTTGGAAATCAAAACCGCCTTTGGCATCTTTTCCCCTCACCCACCGTTCTTCAATATCATTTTCACCTCTAAACGGCTGAGAATCTTAAAGAGAATCAAAGATAAGACGAGCTTTAACTTGACCAGTCATTGAACAAATACACCCAAAAGTGGGGGTTCAGACCAACATGGAGATGATTTTCACATATGTTGTTGTGCCTTTGTAAAGGGAGATCATGCATGGTTTGATATCAAGACTTCTGAGTTTTATTTTGTTTGATTTTCACATGCAACGGTAGAGAGCTTTTACATTTGAAATTTGTA